CTCTCCCGACCTTCGTGTTTATTTCCAGCGTGCAAAAACGGCGTACACGTATATGAATTTGCACATTGTAATTTTGTGGCATTGAGAAAACGAGAGGGAAAACTGAGGGAAGAGGGTTGTTTTTCTTTTTCAGGAAAGCAAGCTTTGGCTAAATATATATGAAACCATTCCCATCTTTTGTTGCGTTTCTTCTTTATCCCCTCTAGACTAGTGTGGTCAGGGGCATAAAGGTGAAAATAAAAAAGGACAGAAGATGTTTTTTACTGTGTATGCTTTAACCACATTACCACAAGTATATCATTTCTTTAGCACTGTTTGCAGACACTTGTGCGAAGACTGGATTTCAAAAGTTGACTCTGTCAAATAAACTTGTAAATAAATAAGTAGTTTCCAGAATGTTCTAATTAGTTTAGTTGCTGAAGTGTCCTTTGGCGGACACAAAGAGGGGTCAATCATCATAGATGATAGTTGTTTACATGCTGACTGACCATTGGCTAAACCCAAAAAAACCAATTGTCCAATCAATGGTTAGCAACTGTAACAGCAGGGCAGACCTGTCAAACTTTGGATTCCTGCACATGCCATAGCGGTCTGCATTGTTTTATAGTAACACCAATATAGCGTTTAAAGAGTTCCAGAGGTAGTCTTTTCTTTATCCCTAAACCAAAACAAGAGCAAAAAGCGCAAAGAAACGATTAAACTGTATGTTCATCTGTGCTTACATAAGCTGCAGCCATTAGCATGTCCAGTAGGAAGTAACACCAGGTCACTACCAACAGTAGTATGTAGGCGTTACGTTCTGGGCCAAGGAGCACAACATTAACTACCTGGGTTTACAAAATTAGTTTGTTGGGTTACAGGTTACCTTTTAAAAAAGTCCTATTCACGACTAGCACATGTGTAGAAGCAGCTCCTGGATGCTAATATAGCGTTAGCAGCTCTGTCCTGCTTTTTTTTGGGGGGGGGGGCTTGGGGAAGTTTAACCTCCAGTCAGCTCAGCCAACATTACACAACATGCTTGTAGCCATCAAGTGAATGTTAAAGGCCCATTTTATTCTCTTTATTCTCGGTTGGAAACATTTAAACAGTCCGTGAGGGATTATGTTTGCAACCAATTAATGGAGCTAATGTTAGCTTAATTAACCAGCTAACCACAGTTGATAGAATCCACCAGCAACAGAATCCTGCTTTTGTCCACCTCTGTCTGACATAATAGGTTTCATAGTTTCCAAAATGACAAAGACATAAATTGGTAACTCTTCCCCAGTTGTTGTTGTGAACTGCGCGCTGTGCTGTGCGGGAACCGAGAGCTTGACAGGTGTTGCAACAGTGACTAATGGGAACTGGGTTTAACAGTCAGTTGAAGTTATGAGTTGACAGCTGACAGAAGATGGATATAAAATCAGGTAAATAACTATGTTGACACAGGTTTCACCCTCAGGGTGTGATGTTTTGCAGCCAGTCATCTTTCTGCTGAAGTCAGGTGCGGATTCAGCACTCATGGGAGAATTAACCAAAACCAAAACAACTGTGGCAAACAACCAGAGATGCAGCATTACGCAAGAAACCGACTGCAAGACCACAGAAAATCACCTAAAAGTTGACTTAAATAATGACTTTAAACCTTCACAAAGACTAAATACAATTCCCAGGCATCTGCACAGTAACAGAGCTGCTGGTCTGGGTGCTCCGTCTCTCTCAGGGCAGCCCGTCTGTCACTTTGCTCCATTCACGTCCACACAATGGCGGGAACAAAACAGCACTTTGTCGCCTACTGCTAAGACCATTAGACGCAGTCCGCCAAGAGCTGAGGACGCAAGTGTAGCGTGTGTAACTCAATCAATCGGATCTCTGATGCTTGTCTCTGTCTGAAATAGCAACACCACCCTCTGTCCTCCTCCCCTCCTGTTACACATGAGCGCTGTAGCAAAACAAAGGGGTTAAGTGCTTCACAGCTCGTAACTTTACTCTTCCTCCAGCGGACCCTTTTTTACTGTTCGGTCTACGAGCTTAAACCAGGCCTGGATCACATAGTAGGAGTTCCAATCGAAAGATAATTTAAAGTTAATGTGCTCAGGAGGCTTTTTCTGACAAATGATATTGATATTTAATGAAGTATCACAGACAGCCTAGAAAATCAGCAAATATTGACATTTGAGAGTGTGGAAGTAGTACCTTTTGGGCTTTTTCTGCTTTAAGAGATGACTTAAAAATCAATATAGTTGCCATTCTACATTAATCATTTAGAACATAAAATGTTGAAACTAGTGAAGAGTACATTATTAAATTGCTTTTCATATCCGACTTAAAAAATATCCAAAACCTACAGATTTTCAATTATATAAATCAGAGCAAATTCTCACAATTTAAAAGCAGGAACTAGAGAATGTTTGGCTTTTTTAAATTTGTATTAATGACTTAAAGATCAATCCAAAATAACAATTATTGTTGATTAACTGTTAATTGACTAACAGTGTCAAATCAGAGAATCTGCAGTCAC